AGGAAGGAAGGAAGGAAGGAAGGAAGGAAGGAAGGAAGGAAGGAAGGAAGGAAGGAAGGAAGGAAAGAAAGAAGGAAAGAAAGAAAGAAAGAAAGGGTGTTGTGTCCAACTAAAACTAAAAAATAAATATTAAAAAAAGAAATACTATGACAGCTTATATCTGAATATGAAAAAAGAATGCAAAGATAGTCCTGTAAGCATTACTATAGTCCCAGAGAACATGCACTCTGAGGGAGATAAACATTCTAATTGATGACCTCATTCAATGAACCAGAAGTAATTTATATATTCACTTTTGTTTAGCAATTATTTTAATTAAAAGAAGAGGCAAAATATGATCCCAATCTTCCCAATAAAATAAAAATGACAGTACGAAATTCTAATGATCAATGCCACACTAAAGAAGAGATGTGTGTCCACTAATTTGAAAAGAAAAAAAAAACAGTTTTCATTCAATATCACATATTAGTTTTCATTCAATATCACATATTAGGGATCTACAACATACAAGGGATGCTCAATACTGAGAATTTTTAAATATTCCATCTTCTATCAAAACCTATTTGGGAGAAGATTCACATAAATTATCAAGGTAAATTAAGCAAGGTGAACAAAAATAAAGTAGTACAGGTTAAATAAGAGTAATATGATGGGAAACAGGAGAAAAAAAAAAGCAGCTTGAGAACCTCAACAATGTCAAATGCTCAGATTTCTATCCAAGGAGGGAGAATTTTAATTGACAGACTACATACACAACTGATTAAAAAAAATAATTCTTACAAGTTATTTATATAGTATTTCTCTTTTTGATAATAAGGATTGAACCCAATGGCACTTTACTACTGAGCTAGGTGCCAAGTCCTCTTTTTATTTTGAGATAGGGTCTTACCAAGCTACCCTGGCTGACTTCAAACTTGTGATCCTCCTGACTCAGCCTCCCAAGTTGCTGTTATTACAGGTGTGCACTACACACCTGGCTTCCATACATCTTTTAAATAATGTAAACCATTTCATTAAAAACCTTAAGTAAAAATGTGTAATAAATGAGCCATAACCCCTATTAATCTTTTTTTTTTTTTTTTTTTGGTAGCAGAGGCTGAACCCTGGGGCCCTAACCAATGAACCACATCCCAGCAGTTTTCATTTTTCATTTTGAGACAGGGTCTCACTAAGTTGCTTTGGGCTAGCTTTGAACTTGCAATCCCCTTGCCTCAACCTCTGGAGTTGCTAGGATTACAGGCAAGCACCACTGCACCCAAATCCTATTAATCTTTAAAGTAAAACTGTCAGGAAATTTTTACATCCTTATTCTTTGTACCAACAACCAAAAGAAGTAATTTAAGGTCGGGGGAGTACCAGGGATTGAACTCAAGGGCACTCAACCACTGAGCCACATCCCCAATCCTACTGTGTATTTCATTTAGATCCTCAGTGTTGCTGAGGCTGGCTTTGAACATGCGATCCTCCCACCTCACCTTTCCTAGCCACTGGAATTACAGGAATACACCACCACCTTTTCA